AACCTCCCTGCTCAAGCAGGGTCACCTAGAGCATATTGCCCAGGATCACATCCAGACGGGTTTTGAATATCTCCAGGGAAGGAGACTCCACTACCTCTCTGGGCAACCTGTTCCAATGCTCTGTCACCCTCACAGTGAAGAAGTTTTTTCTCAGGTTCAGTCGCCTCTCAGTCTTCTCTTCTCGAGGCTCGACAGGCCCAGCTCCCTCAGCCTTCCTTCAGAGGAGACATGCTCCAGTCCCCTCATCCTCTTTGCAGCCCCCCGCTGGGCGCTCTCCAGTAGTGCCATGTCTCTCTTGTACTGGGGAGCCCAGAACTGGACACAGGACTCCAGGTGAGGCCTCAGCAGGGCTGAGGAGAGGGGCAGGATCACCTCCCTCGACCTGCTGGCAACACTCTGCCTAATGCACCCCAGGATCCCATTGGCCTTCTATGCTAATTGGGAGATAAGTAGTTGAAGTGGGTCATTCCTATAGCCATGCCTGGCCTGCAGTAAAGTCTGCATCATGGCCCTGTTGGTAGCTATGGTGCTTCTGTAGGAAGCATGGTCTCTTTCAGTGTGGGAAGGGGGGGGTGTCTAAAGCCTTACAAGTCAAAATGATCTTTGCTCATGTATCTGCAGTGCTTAGTAACACACACAATTTCCCCTGCTCATTTGAGTTAGCTGCACTCTGTTTGGAGCAGGAGGTGAGTTTCTTTCATTGCTGAAGTCATGCAATTACAAAGGGGTTAAATGAGAGATGATTTAGAACCAAGTTTCCTGAATAGGCACTACATCTTCTACAAATGTGGTCTGTTTTTGTCTTGCCATTGGGGTTACCTTTACAATTTAGATAATATTGATATTCATTTAATGTTTTTCATTTAGCTGCCTTTAGCGACAAAGAACTTGGAAGTTGCTGTAGTAAAACCGGCATCCTGTTTCTGAATCCTCATGCCCAGATGATAAGCTGTCTCCAAAATGTTTTTGGAAAAATTGCATCGGCTGTGACTATCATGGCTAAGAGATGTTCCTTTTTTCTTTCCCTCTCTTAAAATAACTTATTTTCATTTCCAACTGGTACTTGTGTTTTGAGGGATCTCACTTATTAATTTGTCCCTGCTCAATGAAGGGCACTGAGACATTGCTACTGCTTGTGCTTCCCCCAAATAGGCTTTGCAGTTTCATGGCATGCCTCTTGAGAACCACCCTACAATGGGATCACTCAGTCAATTGGAGACTACTGTCAGTAGTATTTACACACTAGGTTATTGGCAACTTTTGTTCCAAGTGATGCGGATTTTTTAGGAATTTTAGTTGAAATGACTTTATTTTCTGTTGTATCGCTTATACTGGAGTCCAGTATTGTATTTTCAACAGACCTCTAAGCGATAAGATGTGTATAATTGTATTTGAAAGACATATAACAATTACATAAAACATTGATCCCAGCAGTAAAGTGTTGATCTGTTTTGATTAATCTGGAAATTCAGAGTCAAAAGTAAAAGCTGCTGCTACCCTTGGAGAGCTTGGCATTTCCATCACTAAGGAGCTTTGTATCCTAGTACTGCAGAGCTATATTGTCTTTTAAACCCTTCCCTAGTGAGTCAACTGTATGCCTTCTGTTAATTTCAAGGGAGAAGCGCCTTCCTTACTGGGAGGACCAGAGAGATGTTTCTGTAGCAAAGTGGTTTAAAAAGAAAAGGCTGAGTTGCTCAGAAGTACAGGATGTTGGAAATCCCTAAGCAGAAGAATTAACAGACACAGCACAGGGGAGTTGCTTAGAGGTCTGTGAAAAAAATACATGAGTACAGATGTCTGGGTTACATCATGATGTGGCATGTCTTTGGCTTGTTTTTTTTTTTTTCCTAGCACTCTCCCTGAAACATTCTGATAATCTTTGTAGCTTCACAAAGATCTGCCCAATTGGAACCAGTGAACTGAAAGTTAATGAATTTTATCCAAAACATTTTGTGGGGAAAAGAAACAAGGTACAACTGAAAAAGAATGATCAGTGACAAAGTTTAGATAGAGGAAATAAAGGTTTTGAAGTGTCTGGGATAGAATCTATTAACAAAATGGGGGAATAAGGAATTTAAAGTCACTAAGATACTGAATCATGATAATGTGTGTCCTAAATGAAAGACACATTTTAGTGTGTTAAATGATGATTGCCACCTTGAATATGACTTTATTAAAAGGAAATCGGAGCTTGAAAAAGTGAACAGTCAATCAGCATGATGTTAAGGAAATTAGTACTTATGCAAGTGACACTTTTTGCAGTCTCTGAGAACTGAATTTACAGCAGAGACCAGCAACATGTATACTTAAAAAAACATCTTCCATAAAGAGAAGAATAAGAGCTTTCTGGCAAGTTGTATCCTCAATAGCTGGTGGAAGAGAGAAGTTGTATGATGCACTTGCGCTAACAGTGGAAGTGTCCTCGATTCTCTTTTCCTTGTTCCTAAAGCTCATCAGACAGGCTATGGCCCCTTGCGCTGTATGCTGAGGAAGCCTGGCCAGCTGGCTGCTGTTTCCAAGGACTTTACTAGGCTCACAGAGGGCGAGCCGCAGCTCTGCTTGCAAGGATGCGCACCCTGCCTTCTCTCCCCATCCATGCTCAGTTGACGTCCAGAGGCTGACGCTGGCATTTCTAGGCATCTCTCTCCTGCCACTGCCTGTTTTTGAGTGTGTGATGGGACAGGTGTCCTGCCTGGGAGAGAGAGCACATCCATCTCGAAGGGGCTGATGCAATCCCAGTAGGAGAGCTCTAGGCACACAGGGCACTTCTCAGTCAGGTCTAGGAACAGCTCGACTTTGTGTAAGGCATAGGCGAATCCAGTCTGGAAAGCCGGGTTTGAACAGCTGGATGGCAGAAAGGAAACCTTTAACGTGTTCAATGCATATAGGCCTAGGGGAAGCAGGATGGCCTTGGTCCATAAAAAGCAGGCTGCAGAGGGGAGGTGGTGAAACCCTACCCTGTGGAGCAGTGCCAGGTGGGCAACTCTGTTTCTGTGGTCTCCAGCTTTCTCTGCTGTGTCTTTTCGGAAGGGCTAAAGGGTTATTGTTGTGCCATTGCTGAGTGATTCCTTCCCCTAAATTTCTTCCCTCATACCTTCCTTATTCCTTAGCATCTCCCTCACATTCTGCGCAACAGTTAATGCATGGGTGTATCATGAGTTCTGAATATTAACTCTGGGAACTTGTTTTCTTATGTTTGTGGTTTGATCTGTGGGCCCTTGAGTGACTAGGCTTCTGGGTCGGAGTACCCAGGAGGCTGTTTGCCAAATCCCTGACATCCATCTGCACCATCAAGAAACGGGCCAGAAGAGCGGCTGCTCTCCTAGAGCTTGGGAGACATGGGTCTGAGTCTTGTTATTGTCTTGTGATGCTTGCGGTATTAGCAGACAGACATCTGTCAGACAGCATGGTCTGGCAATGCCTCCATGGATGTGAGACATCTCATGACCTACATTTCATTGTTATTGCAGTCTCTAGAGATTGTTGTTGCCATACTGTAGGCACTATTTTCTTTATTTTTGTATGTTTGCTCTATTGTTCTTACACTGATCTTTTTTCCCAATGTAAGCATGTACTAGAGCAGCAGGTGTAACGTACAGAGAAGCTCGAGTTGATCTCCAGCCTTGAAAGATCCTACAAAATAGTCAGCTCCTGGGAATCAGTAGGGAGCCCCTCATGGAACTGCATCCAGGCCAGCTGCCATGAGATGTGTATGACTGGCTGTGAGCAAAGACTTGTCTATGGAGAGATGCATTGGCTGTGCACAGGTGTCTGGGCACATCCCCCTTCCATACGCCAGCTGGAGAGGAATATAGAAGTGATCCTCTCTTCGCACTGGCACATACTGGAACTGCATCATAGATTTGTTAGTGGGCTTCTCGCTTTAAGTGCCATGGCCTTTTTCAAAACTAAAGCATGAGCATCCTAAATTTTCTCTCAGACACCCCATAGCATCTGGACAATCAAGAAGAAAGTGTGCCGCTCTCCCTGTGCGCTGGCAAATGTTGGGTGCACCTAGTGCCTTCTCTGGTTTGGAGCAGGCTGGCCCGATCAGTGTCAAACACACTACGTCTCAGCTGTTTGAGAGCTAAGCTCTGTCAGGAGCCACGTCTGCTGCGTGCGTTGGCAGCTCAGCCTGCGTCCCCTGTGCCTGGGCACAGGCCATGTCCGTGTCTGATGAGTGCCACAGGAGCCCTCGCTGCTCACTGTTTTCACAGCCCGCTCCAAGCAAGGGCTGGGAAACCTCTGAGTTGTTTTCTTCCTTAAAACCCCTGCGATTTGCTGTATTTCAGCAAAGCTTGGGGACTGTTGGGCTCCCAAAGTGTGGTGCGTGGGGCTGAAAGCAGTGTGCCTTGGTAGGCAGCGCAACTCCTCTGCTGTGCACTCAGCCCCTCTGCCACTGCACAGGGCTCCAGGGCCAGACCCACCAAAGCCTGGCTGTGGAGTGGTGACTGTGCTGGTTATGGAGTCGGTGGCCTTGCCATATGTTGGCGTGTTTCCTTGAAGGAAAGCCAGGGTCTCATGAGTAACATGAAGACTAATCCAAGTATCATATTTCTCTCACTTTGATGGTATTTTCCCTTATATTCCTTCTTGAGTAGCTGCCGTGAGACAAGCCTGGTGGTGGCTGGTGTGAAGGAGGCTGTCCAACTGCCCCTTTCCAGGGACAAAAAAGTGGACAAAAGCAAGTCAAAGCTGTGTCCGTCTTGTGCTCTGGTTACTCCATCTCTGCTCTTCCTGGGAAGTGACAAAGCCTCTTTTGCCTACTTTCTCTGGAGCTAATACTCAGCTTTGTAGCTCAGTGCTAGAGCAGGGCACAGGCAGTTTCCCTTCCACTTCCATCACAAAGCTCCAGCCAGCTAAGCTGGGTGACTTTCTCCACTTCTCTGTTTCACTTGCAAAACGAGTCCTTTAGAAACCAGAGTTTTAACCCTTTTCTTTGCCTTTGAGTCATCTCCGTGTGCTGGGCACATTTGTCATTTACCCCATTGTCTCAACAGGGAACCCTTTCGATTGGCGGCAAAGAAGTGACCCTTGAGTACACGCCATGCCCAGAGTTTTGGCGCTGCAAACGTGTAAGTATGCGGTCAGAGAAAGCTGTATTCTGCTTCCCCTGCGGGCTTTTATGGCAGTAGTAGCAGAGAAGAGCAATAGATCCTTTCCTCAGTGGCTGGAGATCCTTAAGAGTGAAATCTGTCCTGAAGCTCTTGCATCTTCTAAATTCCTGTGTTTTCCCTATTTTTGATACTACCTACGAGTGCATATTCCTTTGGTACAGATAGCAAGTGCCTGTGCACAAAGCAATCTCATTCGTGTGCAGAGGCTCCTTTTTAACCTGTGAGACTGGGGAAAATAGTGTATATGGATCCATTCCCCTTAAAAGCCAAAATGAGGTATTGATTCTGCCAACCAAAATGGAGCATTTTTTTCTCTGATTTGCATGTGTAACGGTGAGTGTTTCCACTGCCCAGATAACTAGGGCTTTTACCTCTGTAATAGTGCACACTTCCCCTCTGTCTCCACACAGGAACTTGTGATCTAGGTATGAGTGCAATAAATGCCACGTCCAGGCAGTAGTTAATACAGACTGGAGCACAAGCGCTCAAGTGCCAGTTTCGTTCCTGTGTTCTTCCCACAGGTCATCCAGAACAGACGCTTTCACCTGCAGTAGCCTAGGGAAGCATGCTAGAGCGAAGAACCAGGGTTGTTGCCCCCATTCCCACTGACTGCAAACCAAGAGGTTGCAGCAGGGTGGGAAGGGATTCGTTCTTGTTATACTCCTGCCTTGTCCGCTGGCTCACACTGGCGTACAAAGACCCTCATCAAGGCTAATTGGACACACTCCAATTGCCAGCAAAGCTATTGTTAGGGACCGCTTCTGTCCTCGTCTGCGCTTGCAGTGCTCCAGGGATCAGGTAGAGACAGAAGCGTCAAGCAGCAGTTTCACGGCAGCTCTCAGTGCAATGAGAAGTATCTGGAGTGTATATCGCTACAGTCTGTGCACAAGCATGGCCTGAAAGAGCCCTCTTATGCCCTAGAGCATTTGCAGGGCCTCAGTTAGAAGCAAAACTAGTATGAAGGAGAATCAATGCATTTATGAAGAGCTTGAACAGGGTGTTAGGGATGCCATATTCAGAGAGATCAGTGATGACGAGGCACTTGACTCTTTCCATAGTGGCCCTGGGATAACTGTCCCAGCCCACAAAAAGTATCAGCTCTCAGTTGGCAGATGCCTGTTTATTGACTGTCCCTGTGCAGAGAATTACATCAGCATGTAGAAGTGTCTTTTAGCTCAGATAAGGACTTAGTCTACTTCAGGAGTACTTCAGGAGTCAGCTGAGACAGGAAAAAACAAAGGTAACTGGATTCCCTGAAGCCATAGGCAGTATGATGTCTAGCATGGAGCTTTTTGGCCCAGCATCATTTGGGAGGGGGAAAGGTCCTGTCTGAGTTGCTAGTGAAGTACCTCAGTGGTGTGAACAAATCTGTGCTCAGAAGTTGTGTGAAAATCCTTCTGTTCCCAAGCCAATCCCAGCTGTGGGATCTTTTCCCTTGCACTCTGGCCTAGGCTTTGCTTCCTTCCTGCTGCCATTGGCTATTCCCTCTCTCAGACTCTCTCTCTAACTTTTCCTTGGCTATAACTTGCTTTCCAAAAGCACTGCAGGGTTTGGCCCTCTGGAGTACATTGCTCCCACTACCTTCAAAACGTGACTTCCTCATGCTGTCCATCTTCCGTTGCAGTGTAAGGTGTGTACTGTGGGCTACAGATCTTCCTGCTCCTATTGCAAACTCCCAAGAGATGGTGAGTATATCTGGTCCCCCTTGCATTTTATTTGTTCAGAGTTTCATCTGCCCTAACAAGTAAGTTTCTATCTTCTGGTTTCTCTGTGCTTGTGGTGGATTAGTTGAGCCACTGTATAGGGGTATTATTAATCTTTCTTCAACTAGACACTTTTCTCTGTCCACTATAAAGATGTTGCATGTGGATGTGCTGCTACCAGGCTCTCTGTTCTTGTGAGGCTTGGTGGAGAGATGTCTTACTGCACAAGGTCTTTCCTTCCTGTTGTTTTGGCATCGTTCCTCACCCACAGCGTTACAGGTTGTGTGTCCTCCAGGACTGTGAGCTGGCCGCAGGTGAAGTGTTTTCCCCGCAACCCACTTTTCTTGGCAGCTGCAGCTGCATGTTTTTAGTGTTACTGATTTGAGGCTCCCCATTTAGAGGTGAATCCAGGACTTGAACTGCTAAACTCACTTTGCTGACTGGAAGGCTGGTGCTCCCAACAGTGCAGAGTTTCCAGCAGGAGCTTCTCCCCACCCAGCCAGCACCTCTGCCCTTTTGGGTTGGAAGGAGCTAGTGACAAAGCACGCTCCCTTTGGGAACTAATTTCTTTTAGATGAGGAGGTATACCAGGCGCTGTGTAAGCTTTGACTCTGCTGCTGTTCTTTAAGCTGGTTTCTGATGTTTTGCATTTCTTGCCCATGTACCCTAGGCAGAAGGTCATTAACATATCTGCTGGTGCAGAGCTCTATTTACTGACGTCCCTGTGGATATTGTGCTTTCCTTTCACTGTGGCTCCTCCAGCAGCATTATGGAGGCAGAGTTCATATGGTCAACACCATATGTGTTCCTTGGTCAACACAACTGAGAATTGTAATCAAAACTGCCAAGGAGCAAATTAAATAGAGCCTTTAAGATGCTATGAAGACTGATTGTGATGCATGCCTCTTACTGACCTGAATTTTTTTTTTTTGGTTGTGGGAAAGTTTGTAATAAGGTAACCCTTGTAAGACTACTGTCCCTTATTTGTCAGGTGAAATAAGTAAAGTCTCTAGGTATATGCAGTTATTACTGCAGCTTTGCATGAGTTTTTGTCTACTGTGTGACTGATGGTCTTGAAATGGGTTTAATATGCCTCTCTTACAGGGAGCAGAGCAGGCCCAGAGTCCAGAGGTGGTTCTGAGGGAGAGGACACCCCCGCTGAGCAAGAATTCAGTAAGAGAATTGTTCTATCCAACTCTGGGGTTGTGCTTGCGTTCTTTGGGGTGGAAGTTGTTAAGGGCTATGTTTTAAAGATATGGATGAAAACATGTAATTTGCCTGGGCAGTTTTCACAGCTGCACATGCAGACTGATTTCATATGCAAATTTTACATGAGGTGCTACTCATGGACTGCAGCCAAAACTCTGCAAGCTGCAGACAAACTAGCACAGGACTACCCAGCGTGAGCTGTGCTGGCAACCAGGCAGGTCAGTGTGCAGCCATCTCAACATTTGCGTGCTAAATGGTTGCACGTTCTGCAGTGTCTCTTGCTTCCCACTGCCCAAATAGAATGAGAGCTTGGAGATGCTCTGGGGGGACATTTAAAGGGTGCAGCTTCACTCTGCCAAGTCTTGAGTTTTCATTTCTTCCTCTTAGTGGGAAGAGACCTGAACAACAGGTAAAGGCTGGTGCCATCTGATTTTGCAGCCCCACAGCTTAGGCTTCCCTTTCTAAGAGCTTTAGAAACTCGGGCAAGGCTCTCTTTTGAAGTGAGGCTGGATATTTCAGAGGCCCTCAAGCACAGAACCTTGATGGGTTTTGATTTTCTCTCTATTGCATAGCTAACCTGTAGCTATGGAGGGGGAGGTTCCATATAGTGCCTGCCTCATCTGTGGTGAGTAGGTACCTAATCACAGAATAATAAAATCAGTAATTGAATTATGCTACATTTCACTTAGTAATCATAGGTGTCTGTACCTAGTTTTCTTTTAACATAGAGATGGGGTGACAATTACTAGTCTGTGATACTGCTCAGCTGTGGATGTTCAAGAATAGATCAGGCATAGTAACAATATCACTGCAAGGTGGGTTGTAGTGGACGAGGATGGGCCACATCCAAATCCATCCTTGATTCATGTTTGGGCAGGCAAAAGCCAATACCAAAAGGAGTCAGAAAGGCCTCTTGGTTCTCATGGGAGAGGTCAGGTGAAGGACCCCAATGTGAGAAAAGGCTGTGGGAGGATGAGCTGCATGTTTAGCTTTCCCTTTCCACACTTTGTGCCTACAAAGTGTTAAGACATGGGGTACGCAAAGGGCAGAATAGGTTAAACAGTTCTTTTCTAAAGCCAGCTGCTCCAGTGGCCAGAATACAGTCGAAGAAAACATTTGCTGAAACACTGAATATAGAGCCAGTCCATATCTCTTCTCTAATAGCAGAGGCAAAGCTTGAAAAACCTGAGCAAGAGTTATCAGGACAACCAGGATCTCCAAAGCAGCCTCTCCAGCCCTCAGCTCCTGCTCCACAACAGGAGTGCCAGCCTCAAGAACAGGAGCCAAGGAAGAGAGATGAAGGGAGAGAGCGGCGGCCCTCACAAGAGAAGAGAAGGGACATGGACCGGCACCAGGAACTGCCTTCCCAGAGAGAAGCAGAGGAAACCACACCACAGGACAGTGGAGGAAGCAGAAGTGAGTGGCAGAGGGGCCAGATTTGGACTCCCGCTGATTGTGTTGCATGAGGCCATCTGCAGAAGGGGTAGCATTTCACCAAAACCTCTGGATGCTCTTTCCATATGGTAAAAATCCATGGCATTGGGTGATGATAGACTCTCCAGCTCCAGAATTGTTGGCAAGTTGCCTTTAGGCAACTTAAATCAGGGCGAGCTGTCTCCAGGATGGTGTGGTTAAACTTGGCGCAGCAGCAAGAATCTCTTTGGGCAAAGGTTGCCTGGGGCTGAGCTCTTCAGAGGAGGGGCCTCCTTTCTGCTCTGTTTTTTGGGAAGGGAAGATGAGCAATTGGAGAGGGTAGTCTGAGCATCTTGCAAACAGGAGAGAAAAAAGTGGCAGCTTCCATGCTCCAAAGGGACCAGCAGCTCAGGGCCTGCTCCCCAGCCTATTCTGCCTCTCTCACTCCAGGTCAATGCAAACACCCAGCCACATTGCTCCCCTTTCCTGGAACCACCCTGGACCAGAGCAGAGCTGTGTGTGTGGTCAGTGAGTCCTACTCGGGTGGAGTCACTATATCTCAGAGGAATAAGGGTGCAGGAGTGGGTCCCCATATGATCTTGCTGCACTGCAGGTCAGGGTGTGAAGTGTCCCAGAGAGAGCTCTTGGCTCTCTAGTGAAGTATGAGCAGCTGCAGAGCAGAGAAGAGACAGAAACCTTTGCTTCCCGTCACTCAGCCCTTCAACTACCATTGCCTCCTTTGTTGAGAAGTTTTCATGGCATGGCAATGCTGTGATACTTGTTTTGGTATTAGTAGCATGACAGGCTCCATTGGTATTGTCCTGCGCTGTGGCATATCCTAGCTCCTGGGACTCATTGCCACGGTAGGATGCTGGATTGCGGGGAGAAGAGTTGTGCTTTGCTGCCTTTGGGGTCTGTGGGTGATGCAGCCTTGGCCCTTGCACAGGGATTCCTTCTGCGTAATTCCGCAGTGACCACGTTTATGCTTGGTGCCAGAACTGGGAAGGCAGAACTGCACTGAAAGGAGACTGGTACATTGGGCTCTGCACCCAGAGAGTGAGGATTATGCAGCATTTAACTGCAAGAAGCCATACCATTTCAGCAGGTGCTTTTAGTTTTACCTCTGCTGTCACAATAAACTTGGATCTGATTTAATCTTTTTTTTTTTAATACTTTTTGTCTCCCTGCCACCTTTCTCTTTCTGCTTCTCAGCAATTATGCTGAAGCGTATTACTCGATTCACCCCCCCGGAAGTGATTGTGGGGCTCCTGGCCCCATACGTGCGTCTTTCCACATCCAGTGTACGCATCATGAAGAACAAGGCTGGCCGGATGGGGCAGACCTATGGCTTCATTGAACTGGAGTCACATGCTGTAAGTAGCTTCCTGCCTTCACACACTCCCCCTCTTGGCATCTGTAGCCAGTAGAAGTAGAGGAATCTTAGGAACATAAGAAATAGCTGTACTTGTGAGGTAGTGGTCCTGAAGCTGTGGCATCTCCTGCTTGCCTGGCTGGATGTAGGGAACGTCTGGCACATCTGTTTGCTCTCTAGGTTCAGGAGCCAAAGATTGAGTCTGTCATCACAGCTGTGATGCTGAATGAGTTTTTTGCCTCTGTACGTCTTGTTGTAGATCCTCCCAAACTTAAGCATCTCTTGCCTAGATCTTTTGTTTGCAAGGGCTTCACATTTAATGGTCTCTATATGCAAAACTGCAAATCTTAATTAACTGACAGTCCCACATTGGAAGGTTCACTTTTTCTCCTTAGTCACGGTGACACCCAGACTCTGTATCTGTGCTTTAGCTTTAATCCAGAGGGTGTTCACCAAAACTCTTTGGGGCAACAGCAGCCGCAGTGCTGCATGGTCAAGCAGCCCTAGGAAAACATGGTCCCTAGCTGACTACTGAAAATAGCCACAGGACAAGCAGAGAACCCACCTTTTATCCTTTTTGTGACATCCTGAATATTTTTCACTACTGTTTAGAGAAGCACATTGTATTTCATGTCCTAATGTGGTCATCCAACTGCTGCTCTTAGATACAAAGCCTTCCCTTCAGGCAGATGAGATTTGGGAAATTGGCTTATGTTTCCTTCTCATGAATGTGAAATTCTTTCCTTTCCTTTCACAGGAGGCCCTGAGGTTGCTAAAGATATTGCAGAATCTGGATCCCCCAATCTGCATTGATGGACGGACAGTGGAAGTGAATCTTGCTACAGGGAGGAGAAGGTACGGACAGACGAGGCAGTAAAGCTATCCCTTGTTGTAAGGCTAGACATTATCAGCATTGTCAGTTGTAAGGCATTGTCAGCCCAAATGCCTAAAGGTTGGAACATAGATTAGCACAGAAGTTCCTACAACTTAAAAATAAGTTGGAGAGGCAAATTGAAGGCATCAGAGCAGAAGCTTCCGAGATTGAGCCATATAGGATGAACCATTTTATCAGGTGGCCTCCTCTTGTTGTCTAGCCATCAAATCCCATTCTGAGGAGGTTAACTGGTTTGGCTTTTTAAAAGCTGTTGGAGAGAATTGCCTTTGCTGATTCAGCAGAGAGTGTTGGCATAATTTTTATGGCAACAGTGATCTACACAGCCTTTCTGTGTCCTGGCATGGGTGCAGTCCAACATGTGGCCAGAAAAGATGTTCTTCCTGTCTTTGTGGTCCTGCTGATCATTTTGAGTACACTGAGGTTAATGTGAAGTCAAACTGGCATTAACTTGCAGCCTTTATCTCAACAGGAATGACTATGGGGAGCATGGCGACAATTCCTACTATGGCCCGGTAGGTCTGCAGCGGGTTCTTAGCAGCTAGCAGAGAGGAGAGGGAGCACCAGGGGGAAGAGGCCTGACTTTGTTCGGCTTCTCAATTTGGACTGCTGAAACGTCAACATGTGTGAAGGTGGAATGTTTACCTAAGGCTAAAGTGTGCTCTTCACTGCCACTGGGCTAATAACACCGGCATTATAACGTGCACAGAAGTGCAATGCAAGGTGCAGGTGCTGCTCCAGAAGGTGCTTGGCTGGATTATTGCATACTGCACCCTTACAGAGTGACTTACTGATGGCAGATCTCAGTTCTTGGAGAAAGCATCTCTTCCATACTGTCAGTGTTACTGGGCTGCAAGGCTCTTCCCATACAGAATGGGCTGAAGATTTCAGTCTGGATTGCCATGAGCAGCTGATTTAAAGCTTCAGGCTGGTCTTGTGCCTTGCAACACTGCTGGTCATCTGTTAGATGAAAAGCCATGTCTGCTTGATTTCTATTTAGAGTAGTTAAATGATCGTTTTCCTGAACTCAGCCTGTGGGAGGGAGGAGAAACAATATGATGTTTGTCCAAGAGTCTCTGATCTGTTTGTGTTGTTCACTTATTCCAGGGCAGAAGGGGCATGAGGGACAGGAGGGGCGGCGAATCACAGAGACGCACCAGAGCGCAGTGTAAGCTAAGCTCTGCCTCACTCCTACTGTGGAGTCTTTTCTTCCTTAAAAGGGCACTGACATGTAGAAATCATCCAGAAAATATTTTTAAAGGCTGAAAGTAGGTTTACTTGCTACACCCACTTCTGAGTTCCTTTGCCAATTTTGTTTAGTCATATTTTCCTATTCAATAATGTGTTTCTCTCTCTTCTTACTGTGCAAAAGCTACATGCAGATAAAGGAAAATTGCTACTTACTTTCCTTGTTGTGTCAAGCTGATGGGACAAAATCAGCCTGGCAATTACCAGATGAGGTGGAAGAAAATGTATTCTATGCAGCAGTGCCAGTAGCTGAAAAACTCTCCTGATTATTTTACTAGTGTATATGCAGCACTGCTGAGCTCTGTCTAATAAGAGTTTGGAAATGAGAAACATTCCTCATATTATGGGGTGCCTACCCTGGGCCTAGCCCTGGACTTCAGCTATTCCTGTTGAAGCGTTTGGCTCTCCTTTCTTGTCAGGGGCTTTTGTGCACCCACGGGGCAGAAAGGAGCAGGGGAGAGTCCTCACTATAACAAGGAGACTTTGTTTATAAGAATGCAGATCTTCTTTTTCACAAGGGTAGATGGAAGCAGAGCTGAAACTCATCACCCCATTCTTTGGGAAATTACTGCATTTCAGGATATCTTTGTCCAGTCAAGCATTGTCAGCTGGTGATCTCAGCACAAACACTGTATGTGCATTCTGGCAGGGAAGTTTTTCCAGAGACCTAAAAAAGATAGGAGGATTGTGAAAACCCATTTCCCTTCTTACTAACTAAAGGGTGAAAGATGTAGATAGAATGATGTGAGGACACTCATGTCTCCATTGCCAGGAGAGAAAATTTCTTCTTTCCCACTCTTGATCCTTTCACCAGTGCAGTATTTGCTGATACTTTTGTCTTTGTAAAAGGCAAGTTCTCTCTTTGGGAGATTCTGATGTTAACTCTTATCTCTCCGTTCAGCTCCATCAGATGTGTCCACGTACATTTATGATCCTGAAACTGGGAATTACTATGATCCCATAGCTGGGACATACTATGACCCTAGGACTCAGGTAAGTGCACAGGAAGGAAGCTTTACACATAGCACATTCCTACAAACTGCCCTTCTTTGAATAGTTTTTGCAGCTGGAACCTGAGGAGGGCTGGGATGAGACAGCACAGAGGTAGCTTTTATTCAGTTCCTCTGACTATATAAAAGGGATCCCTATTCCAAAATAACAACTCAATGGGATGCAACGCTAGGAACCCATTGGCTGTGTAGTGGACCATTTACCTTGGCTGCCTCCTTGGCCCGTGAAGTCCTACCTTTGGAGGGCTTTTAGCTTCCTCCTTGTCGAACAGACTTATGGACAGAGCACCCTCAGTAGATTTTAGTGGAGATAGGAGACTTAACACTGTGTCTACTAAAAGATGGACAGCAGATCTCTGTTTTCATCTGGAGTCTCTTTGCTCCCCCTAGCCCAGACAGTGATGGTTACAAGGATGCCAAGCCACCTGCAGAGGTTCCCTGGGACTGTCATTTTGTTTCCATGAGACTGTCCATTCAGCTGCTGAGGCTGTGAGAGCAGGGCAGTGCTCTGATGACCTGACTAGTGTAGACTCTCTTTTGCCTCAGCAAAGTCTTAAAGCCTTTGCCCCCTGCTGTCTGAGGCTCTGCTGCACAGTCCCTTCTTACTGTGCTGGTCTCCCCAACCTAATAAGGACTCAGTTGTGTACTGAGAAGGTTGGCAGGGTTTTGGCTAAGTCTATTCCAAATGCCTCTTACAGAGAGAAGTCACGATAGACCGAGAAGCCTGCTCATCACCTACAGAGAGCAGAAGGCGGCGGCATGGGAGCCAAGAAAGGACGAATGAAAGAAAGGAGCCACACAGCAGGGACAATAGGGACAGAAAGGAGAAAGGGAAAAGTACTTCTGCTAAGGTAAATCCCTTCTGCGGTCACAATGGTCAGAGATCTGAGGCCAGGAGGCTGAGGTAAGAAGTAACGTTAGAAAAAAAGAGTCAGAATAGTTTACAGAGGATTCATAAAGGGGAGAACAGTGAGAGCAAGTGATGGAATACATGTAGTCACCAGCCAGCAGGAACATGGTTTGTTCTGTGGCCAGATGGGAGCAAGATCCAAAAATTTTTCTCCTTGTGACATGAAGTCAGGGCTTCTCATCCCTTCCCTCATGGTAAAGGATTCAGAAATATCCCTGCAACCAGAGACACACTGCTGAAAGCACCCAAGTATTGTTAACAGAGCCAGCGAAAAATAGCAGAGGTGTGTGAACATAACAGGTCAGATAATAACAGAGATTCGGCCCTGCCCTAACCACAATTCCTGCTCCCTCCAAACACCACAGACAGACTGGAAGGCAAGGCAGGCAGTGCGGCTGAACTGCAAAGGTGAACTGAGATATAATGCAGAAATTCTCCCCCTCCCATTTCTCCTGCCTGCCTGGTTTCTATGGATGTTCAGAAGCGGCTTCCCAGGTGCTGCGTGCACTTTCTGACCCCTGTGCTGCTGATGGCCTAATGCCTATTGTGTGTATTTGTTTGTTTTTCAGAATGAGCCTGGAGAGGAGAGGTTCTTCGTGGAAGATGTCTTCAAAAAGCCATTACCTCCCTCTGTGAAAAAGGATGAAAGTGCCAACTTGGTAAGATGGCGCATAGCACTTGTTTTTCCCTGGTCAAGCATGAGTAGCTAATGAACAGCTAACTACAGCATTCCCAGCCCAGGACTCGGCAGAGCAAGTAGATGAGAAACTTTACCCCAGCCTATTCTTTCTGCTACTTCAACATACAGATGAGTATCACAGGCTTGTCCTGTTGGAGTGCTGGGTGATTATAGTCTCTGGTGTTCTCTGTCCAGAAAAAGGAACACCTTGAAAACACCACAGAGCTGTGTTGACAATGACCATGTACTGTGCCGCAGACACAGCAGAGATAGCCGTTGTTGTTGTCCTTTTCCTCCCTGCCTGTAGTACTTGTCCTGTGGCTCATCTCTCCCTGGGAAGCAGGATTGTAGCTCTTCCAGGAGTGGTGGGTTTCTCTGCTCCCTTGCTGAGAGGCTATGGTCTGGCATGCAGTCTGTGCCTGGGTGCTCTCTGTGTGCTTTGTGCAAGTGGAAGTGTATGAATGTGACCTGTCCCTGCCTCAGCTCCCCCACCGGTCTATGGTGCAGCTGGGAATGCTGTCACAGTCCAGCAGAAAGGGGAGAGTGGAGCAGACTGGGACTGCACTGAGAGCTGCTTCAGCCGTCCCTGAAATCAAGGGCATAACTCCAAGAGAGAGACTCTCGGCACCCCCGGAATGGAAACATTTTCCCACCAAAAACACCACCTCCTTTCTGCTTGGACGCCTGTTAAATGGGTGCATAGCTCCTGTGTACAGACTTCCCCTGGGTCTAGTCTGTGGCAGACTTAACACTCTATTTTGGCTGTTTCAGAATGAGTCTGGAGAGGAGAAGTTCTCTGCAGAAGATGTCTTTAAAAAGCCATTACCTCCCTCTGTGAAAAAGGACGAGAGTGCAGCCCCGGTAAGACACTGCCTGGAACTGATTTTTTCCCTTGATCGAACCTGAGTAGACGACTTTGTGGGGGGGGGTGCGCTCTCCAAAGCCTGGTTGTGACTTGGGTGGCAGATGTGCCAGCTTCTCCTGCCAGGAAGGGAGCGTTGAAGAGAGAACAGCAAAGGCAGTTTGTTTTATATTGCTGAGCTTGTTTATGGGGTTCTAGCACAGGGAAAATTTGACACTGTCATCTAAGCAAGGTCTCCTCACTTGAGTAGTTGTCATGCAGAATACTCTTCCAGCCTGCCTCTGGACTCAGCACAGCCAAACCTCACTGATCCTTATTGCTAGAAGTGACTGACGGCTCCTCCATGCCAAATAACTGCTTCTTTGGTCAGCATCTTGTGCTTAGGTGTGTGGTGGATTGGGAAAGCCTGGCACCAAAGCATAACCTGTCTTGAGAACAGAAGAGTTTCTACCCTGTGGTGTTTAAATGCCCATCAGCCAATTTCTTTCCATCCCTGCCCATGCTGCTGGGATGCTGCTCTCTAGCTCTTGAGCTGAAAGAGAGACAGAAGGGATGGGGAGATAGGTTGGGTAAGCAGAGCCCAGTGTGGCAGAGTAGGCTTGATGCTGTAAATTGTCACACTTTTCTGCCTCTTTCTCAGCCCAAGGCAGTGAACCCTCTGATAGGACTTCTGGGAGAGTATGGAGGAGATAGTGACAATGAAGAGGAGGAGGAAGAGGAGGAGCAGGCACAGGCACAGTGGATGCCTCCTCCCCACCCACCAGCACAGCGTGAAGAACAGCCAAGGACGGCCAAGGCCAGCGACGACAAGCTGACCGACTGGAACAAGCTGGCCTGCTTGCTGTGCAGGAGACAGTTTCCCAACAAGGAAGTGCTCATCAAGCACCAGCAGCTTTCCAACCTACACAAGGTAAAGGGAACTGGTGGCCGGGGGCTGCATGTGTGCAGCTTTGTGCTCTGTGGGGAAAAATGCAGCAGCTGGGTGGGAAAAACTGTGCCGAGTTTGACATGAGCAAGCAAAGTTTCCTATCAAAGCTGTGGTCAAAGCCCACATAGGCTCCCATCATAGGCTTATAACCAGCTCTGCTGCTAACTAAATTGGAGCAGGCTTCTGACCAGCAGGCACCACCACCCTGGTAGACATCGTCCAGAGCAGTGCGTGTTAACGCCTTCGTAGTCTATAGGCTTGCAGGCAGCTCCGTGACATGGTGGAGCATGTCATCTCATGCAGGAGAGCGCTAGCCCAGCCTCAGCATGCTGGATCTGTGGGAAGGGGGCCTGAGCTGAAGAGCCAGGATCCAGCCCACTTGAATGGTGCTATGAGCAGGTTCTCCAGGCATCACATGAGCTGCTTGCTCCTGCCATCTGAATGCCAATGGTACTCCGTGGAAATATGCCCATAACATCAGGCTGTGACTTGTCAAGCTGTATTGAGATGGCTCAAGCTTGGGGACAGCGAGATGTTTGCAGGCTCAAGCGTGATAGTAGTAAGAACTTAGCACATGCCTCCCCATGTCCTGCACTACCTTCAAGCTCTTCCTGCTGGCAGGACCAAACTTCATGCTGGTTAAAATAGGCTGGATAGCTTGCCCTACTGTGGGAGAAGAAAGGCTCCTGGTTTCTGTGGAGGAGCAGGCATTTTGGGCTGCATGGGAAGCCTTTGCCTCTGGTATACTGCAGGTGGAAGAGCCTACTGTTTTATCTGTGCTCCTTATGGGCATAGCAGATGACCCTAACAGCTCGTATTCTCTGCTGACACTGGCTTCTGCTTTCCTCCTTCCAGCAAAACCTGGAGATACATATGAAGATCAAACGGTCTGAGCAGGAACTGGCATATTTGGAGAAGAGAGAGCGCGAGGTGGGTCTGTGGAGCTGGGAAACTTCTGCTGTGGTCCTGCAATAGGGGAGCATTGGTCCCAGGCAGACCCACCACATATGCAATTGTTTTGAGAGTTATCAGGCTGCAGCCTGGGCATCAAATGCCTCCCAAAGAGTTTCACACTGCGCTATGGGCCACACTCAGTTGCCCAGCAAGTCAGTGTTGGGCTTTGTGCCAGGTGAGTCCCAGATTTCCATCCAAAACTGATGCAGTGTGTGGGCTGCTGCTGCCCAGCCAGGAATGGGGAGAGCTGTGGCTGCCTGTTGTTCAGAAGCTAGCAGAGCTGCTCCCAGTGCTGCAGCTGTAAGGCTGCGACCACAGATCCAGGTCAGCCCTACAGATGCCATCAGGATAGAATAAATGGATTGTGGGTCCTACAAGCAGCCAGGGTTTGTGGGTCTCCAGGACACATTTCTGCTCACCTGAGGATTAGTGGCTGAGATGAGACCTTGCTGCAGAGCAGTCTCCTGTGGGGTGTTGAATCCTTCATAGCTTCTATGCTTACTTTGTTATTTCTGATATGAAGGGAAGATTCAAAGACAAAGGAAACGACCGGAGAGAGAAATATCAGCAGATGGATTCACCAGAGAGGAAACGATTCAGATACGATCGGGACTCAGAGAGGTAATGACTGCTGTTGGTTAGATCTCTTTGGGGCTGCTGATGGCAAGATGGCGTGTGAGCAGCTGGTATGCCATGGCCAAGGATCAGCTGGTGAAGATCTGCAAGGATAGCAGCCTGGCAGGCTGCGACTCTTGCCCATAGAGGTCCCCAAAGTGTGAGCCTGTTGTGCGGTAGGACTTCTTAGAGAAGGCAGGAGAAGGCTAGAGGTGGAGGCAGCATAAGGGAGAGCAGAGACAAGCAGTTGGGTGCTGGATGGGTGGGATGGGAGTTTTGAGGGTGCCTGGCCAGGCACAGGAAGGAGAGTGCAGTCTGTTCGCAGCCACCTCATCCTTAAGGCATTTGCTGTCCTCCTACCTAGGCCTGGAGCCATCAGGAGAAAAAGCAAAACTATGTTTTGTCTGTTCGGCTGACTCAGAAAACACTAGGAGCCATTTCCATCTCATTCAGAGTAGGAGGAGGAAGAAAGTGCACGCTCTGCAGAGCTCTCAAAAGGCCTGCCTGCCGTGAGCTCACGTGTTCCAGTGGGCTGAGGAATTGCGAGGCCTGTGCTGAAGACAAAACTGGTTATGTGCCTGTTTGCTTCTGATACAGCACCTCAGGAAGGAGACTTCCTTCATGTCTTGCAGTTTAGAAATCTGTATCTTTTCTTCCCTTTCTTTTCCTGGAAGAGCTGTGGATAACCTGAAGCAGTTTGCATGCAGTGTCATCAGCAGCCAGAAAGTGCTGGAGTGCACTTTGCTGAATGCAGGAAGCTATTTGTGTGCTGAGCAGTTTTGAAAGCTATGGGTTTTGGTAAATGGTCTTGGATGAATAATGACCAGGAGGGAGAAGGTGTGTCCTCGTCAACGCTTTCTTGCTGTTGCTAAAATTCAGATTAAGAAATACAAAGCATTTGCACAAAATGCCTCCTGGTCTTCCCATACCGTAAATATTTTGGAGCCTGAGTTCATTTCCTGTGCCCTGGTTTGTTCTCCCCTGAGATTGGACAAGGAGCTTTACTGTCAGAGGCATCGGAGCCCTGCACGCAGAATGCACTGTGTTGTGTTTCTTGAGCAGCGTGCTTCTTGCAAGCAACTTGGGTACCTCTCAGGAGAGGTCAGAATGTCAATGGAGGTGCCATCAGTAGTGCTAAAAATCCCTGGCGTGTGTCTGAAGCACTACAAAGCTGCATAACTGATTCTGTCTCTTCTGCAGTGACTACGACCCAAGGATTGATAGTAACAACAAAGGAAACCGAACGTTGCAGTCCCCAGGGTGGAAGAAAGGCCTGGGCCACAACCAGCAGGGCACAACCTCACCAGTGGAGGTGAATCTTCCGTTTCCTTCAAAACAAATCACTTCTGTTCACCTGGTAACGTCTCTTGGGACAGCTGGAGGGAATTCTCAGCTGGGACAAGAGTCAATCCGCAAGAATCAGCATGGGATATTATGTGTGCACTGGTTAAATCTGCAGGCTGAGAGGGGCTGCAGGCATGTCAGTAAGAAAGGGTTAGAATGTGTATGGATCTGGAGGGCTGAAAATAGAGTAACAGTGAGTAGGGAGGGCGTGAGCATCTGATTAATACCTGTACAAAGTCAGGCTGGGAGCAACGGGCAGGAGAAGGGCTGGGGTTTGAACAGGTCACTAGCTCAATGTTCTGCAGCCATGTCAGGCTGGGATGAAAAGGTGAACTTCCTCCCGGGAGGCACGAGTGTAACCAAAGCCCACAGGGCACATGCTACTACTGTTTGTCCACTCTGCTTAGTGCTTGTGAGACCTCAGCTGCAGTTCTGGGCACTGGACTTTGAGAAGGGTTTACCAGGGTACGCTGTCTGATGAGGACCAATCTATCACCAAAGAGCTTCAGGGACAGGCGGGGCTGAGCAGATCCTATCTTGAGGGACAGAGATTGGCCTGTTATGCACCTGCCAGCTCTGCCCTCTGTGACTCTCGCAGGAGCCTTAATTTGCTGGAGAGGAAGTTTACTTGGAACAGTATATTAGTTGCACTTGACATGTGTTTTTGAGCGGTCTTAAGATTGCAACTTGCAGTTTGCAATAACTTGAGATATTCTGTCCTTGTTGGTGATTCCACAGACAGGCTGTTCACATCCACCACTGCTCATGCCTGCCCCCGGGCACACCACAGCAGTGTTTGTGTATTGGTTATGGGGGGCTGATTAAGGGCAAAAGAAAGGGTTGTTTTCTTGTGGGTTGTTTTGGACAGCATTTGGACAGCTGCATGATGCTATGGTTGGTCAGGCAAGGGGAGACGAGGTCTTTTCCAATGAATTAATTTCTGATTTTGTTCACCGCGTAACCACGTGGATGGTTACCGCAACATCATAGAGGGGCAGTGAGGGGTACAAGGGACTGATGGCTGTTTAGGCCAGCATTCTGCAGAAATCCATTCAGTGAGCAGCCCGGGATGGCCAGGCCTAGCAGCAGCAAGTGGCCTGGGGGGAACTGCTCTAACCCCTTGCCCTGGTGCCCAGGGGCACATGGGCAGCACCAGGCCCCGGTGGCTGTGGTCACTTCCTGTGGTGGGTTCGTTGCCTGGCTGCTTCGTTGTACGGTGTTAGCTCCTCTCCGAAGGGCAGTGCAACACGCTAGTGCTGCTCACATTGCAACATTGAGTTTGCAATCAAGTGCATCATGACAGGCAAATATTTGAGGCTTTGTGACGTTTGTTTGAGCCCACACACACAAAAAAACGCAAGGTTCCTGCTTCAGTTCAGATAGCAAGAACTGGCCCCAGCTGTTGTTCAGTCTTCACTGAGAGTTTTCTGCAGCCATAAAATGGGCTTTGTCGAATAGCCAGCTCCAGCGATGCACTCTGGGAGGTCTGACCTACAATCAGGCTCCCTGCACTGGATGGGAGAGCTGATCACAAGACACAGCCCTGGTGCAACTCCTGTAAAGACCTCCCAGAAGAGCCCTAGAGATGTGCTTTTTCCCCACTTCCAAGTCATGCTGGATAAAGCCGTGTGTCCCGTCCAGCCCTAGATAACTTTGATCTCTCAGCCTAATTGATTGCATCTCTGGTATCCAGATATATCATACTTAAAAGGAGATAAAACTTTCAGCCTTGGGCCTGTTCTCCTGGGCTCACTCTGGGCAGGTATAGCTGAATAATTTAAACACTGGCTGCAAAAGCCAGTCGTCAAAAAACAGTTGAAATTCAGCATGAGCTACCAGAGCCCACGGGAACTCCATTAGAGGAGAGAACAGCTGAGCTTGTGCAAATGCAGGCCCAGCTCTCTTGCTGACACTTTCCTTTGCTCTCTTCAGTCCTCACGCACACATGGCTGTCTCTCATCTGCTGCTTTTGCATGTTTTGGCTGCCTGCTCCTACCCCATTGTACACTAGTATTGCTCTCCCCAGCCAGTCCCTGTGGTTTGGTTCTCTCCTGGCATTTGCTGCGTGTGTTTTTGTTGCTTGCAAAGCCCCAGTAGTTTCTCGCAAGCAGCTTTCGGGGATACAGTGTACTACCACCTTTGCCCCCTGTTCAGATCCGCAAGGGAGTAATCCCTTAAATCTGTCCTGGAACAGGCAAGGGGAAGCTTGTACAGAAAATCGGAAGAAGGGACCTGGCTTTGGAGCCCAAGGGAAGCCCGGCAAGAGGCAGTCCAACGAAACGTACCGCGATGCTGTCAGGAGAGTCATGTTTGCTCGCTATAAGGAACTTGAGTGAATGGTGGAACATACCCCACACCTGTCTCTCTCCATCTCTGTCTCTCTCTCTCTGCGTCATGTTCTTTTGGGGTTTGGAGTTGTGGGTTATGGGGGGGGGGGGTTGTTTGGTTTTTGTTTTTTTGAATTGTTACAGGTTTTGCTGCTAGAATTTTTTTTAATAAAACTGAAAATTTGTCAGCGATGTTTCACCATCTCTTCCATAAAATGGCATGTTTTAAAATTGTGTGTTGTTTTGGAAGATTCCCCTCATCTTTTCTCCTCTGCTGATGCGATCGCTGGGGCTTGTGGCACTGCACTGTCTGGGGCTGGGACAAGTTTCCCTTCACTGCCTTGGCAGATCTGTCCCACCTACATTCAGGTGATCACTCATTAGCTCCGCTGGCCATGCCACTGTCCTGCAGCAAGTTCCCTGCCAGCTTAGGCACTACTGGAGGCCTTTGAATGAGGCCTGTCTCTTAGTATGTGCTCTCCCACAGTCTGTGCTACTCTCCAAGATAACCATGTTTTTCCAAAATGCGTTGTTAAACCAACCAAGTAAAGGCCAAACCAAGGCAGTAGAGCCCGATGTGCTGCCTAGCTTGTGAAGCTGTTGTAAAGTGCTGCCCCTGCAGCAGAGCAGGGGTGCAGACATAGGGCACGATGTGTAATAAACCTGACTTGGGATGCGCAGGACTCAGGGGTGCATTCAGGCCTCAGCAAGCATCATCTGCCTGTGAGGATCTCCTGTGTCAGCTCATTTCCAGCCCTGCTGCCTCCCAGCCACCTCGGTGCCAGCCGAGCAGCAGGAGGCTTATTCACAACAGCCTTGTGGTGGCATCTCCCAGCATTTGGCTACATGTCCTTCTGAAACCTCCTTGCCTGGGCTTGCTGTGGCTGCCTGCCCTCATCCCCTGGCCCAGAGCTGGCCACCCAGGCTGTGGGCAATGTGTGAGGCCAAGCGGCAAAGGTTAGCATGACGTGCTGTGGCAACCAGAACTGCTACAGAGTTTATTTCAGGAAAACTCTCTGGACTCAGAGTGTTGGCCTTGCTGTGGCATGTTGAGGAAAAATAGCTTAAGGCAAGCTTTCTGCTGTGGCATGGCCAGGATTTGAGCTTGGGCTTTATCCAGGACTGGCAGCAGAGATGGGACCCCAGAGGGGTCCAGAAAAACAGTGTGAGGCTAGCCTCAGTGTGTGGACTAAGCTGGGCTCTGGGGACACAGGGATAGGTCATCCCTGCAGTGTAGCAGGACCTGTGGGCCAGGTCAGGCTCCTCTGGGCATTTGCTGAGGGTCATTCTCCCCCTCCTGTACCTACCTTCTGGGGGTCAAGTGTGGGCCCAGGGCCTGCAGGGCCATTCCCCCTCACCCACCCACCCCCTGGCAGGAAATATCTCTCTGAAGAGCTGGGCTCTTTCCAGGCCCTGGCACTGGGAATGCTGCTGGAGGTATGGGGGTGGGGAAAGCAAGGCAGTGGGGCATCCCCACATGTTGCTGCCCCTCTGCTCCATGGCCACCCTGCCCCTTTTTGGCCCCAGCAGGACTCAACTGCAGACGACCGGATGCTCCTAGCAGCATGTCCTCGTTTGTCTACGGAGCAGAGGATGCACACGAAGGCCTGGTAGACAAGGGAGCAGGAGCGACCACGGTGTGGGACTGGTCCTGGCTGCTAGTGAGGGCAGCTGGATTCAATTAATAGCAACAGCTTAATGACTAAAGGTGGTTTCCTTTCAGGGAAGTGTGGGGAAGGGCTGGAGAAACAGCAAGCAGCTCCCAGGCAGGGGTTTGTAGCAGAGGCAGTGAGAGTGGCATGGCTGGGGTGCAGCTGAGACTCTGTGTGTGTAAGCAGACTGCTGGGATTAAGTGTGGCCCATCCAGATAAGAAGGGACATGGTTCTGGCAGAATACCTTGCACCAGATTGGTAGGAGGGTGGTGAGGGGGCTGCAGCAGTTCATGTGCACCTGCTGCTTTTCCTGCTTGCCCCATAGGAGAACAGATCCCAACATCACTGCCCAAAAAACATCCTGAAGGAGGGAAAACCAGAGGCCTATGGAAGTTGAACCTAGCAAGATCTGGATGCAAAGGGGCACCCTGTAACACCTAACACCTATCCAAGCACTAGTTTGCCACTTCTGATGAAGGTGACCCCAGAGAGGTGCAGAGGACTTGCATGCCAGCGCCCTACTCCTCACCACTGTGCCCTGGTGATCGTGGCCTGCTGCCTTGGGGACACATATCACAGTGCTTGTGAGTATGCGTGGGAACATGTGTAGCTGGGGCAGGTCCCCTTGGTTAGACCTTTTATAGAGAACTACCTCCTTCCCTTTCTGCAAGAGCACACGCTGAGGTTTGTGCCACTGATTTCCCTACCCTTAAATGATGCAGAACACACAAGGGAGAATCATGTAACGTTGGTTTCATACAACTGTTGTTTTAGGAATTGTTACCGCTTGGGTCCTCTTAGGGGTTGATAGCCCTTGTTTGGAATAGTAGTGGGGTCACAGCTGAGGACTGCTTTATCTGCAAAAACACAGCGCCTAGGGTCTGCGTGATTGACTGCCACTTAAAGTCTTGATACCTGTAGGATCTGGCTAGCTCGAGGGCCAGTCTGATACTGGCAGAGCCTGACAGCCTGCCACTGTTAGCCAACACACTGGTTGTGTGGGGCTGAGCACTGCAGGCTGAATCAGGCTGGCTCAGCAGGGTTTGTTGATGAGGAAAATATGCTGAAGGGAAAAAGAAAAGCAAGTGAAACGGGTGTACGGGGGGAATTTGTACCATGATCTGGACATAGAGGATTGTCCCTCCCTCCTAGGAAAAGTACTTTAAGATTCGGGACCTAGGGCAAGAGTGGCAGAGCTGCACCAGCAAGTGCCTCTGTGTCTCACCTAGGGGCTGCTTCATCAGCTCTGGTACAAACTGTAGAGAGGAAACAGTGGCTGGTCAAGAAACTTGCTTTAGAGCACTATGTGGAAGGTTAGACTGAGCAACAGCCACAGGCTGCTTGTGCATTAAAACCAAAACTCTTGGGGACCACGTGGCGAGTCAAGGTTCAGACAGCCTTGATAGCAGGAAACGGTTTGTCTGGGTCTGTAGGCTGTGAGGCTCTGGGTGATGGTGATAATGATGCTTTAAATGGGGCTATCAGTGATCACCTTGACCCCCAGGAACCTGATAGCTCTTTTAGAGTAGAAGTAGTGAGGAAAGTCTCCCAAACTAGAGATCAATAACAGCTTGTGACTGTACAAATGCAAGTTTCTTGAACAAGAGCTTGTGGGGAAATCAGCATCCAGGCTGAGGTTCCAGTCATGTTATTGGGGGAAGTGAAAGCCAGGCTGTTACATACAACCTAGCAGTCAGTTTTATGTTTATAGGTACGCAGTCTGCACTAGCTTTCCCCAAGGTAACCCACCGTGCCCGAGCTCCACACACTGGTGCCAGTGTACAAAGTAGGCCAAGAAATGCACTGTGCAAAACTGTGTGGTGACAAATAGGTTTGCCCTACTGGGATCCAGCCTGACCAGTCCTGTGCCCCTAATGAAGCATTAACTACTTGTATGTGGTGCCACAGCAGTTAATGAGTCTTGAATATATGGCACTGGAAATGGATGTTTATGGTGTGTCCCTGTAGCCAGTTTGGTGGGGATTGCATCAGAAAATCACCCTCCGTGGAAACATGGTTATGTAATCTTTCCCTTGAGGGAGTATATGTTTGTGAGTGTATATACATACACACATAAGCATATACATACATGTACAGAGTGAAACATGTGCAATGTTTGCCCATGTTGTGCATCAACTATGGAATAAGCAGCGTTATAGAACATGAAAGAATCCTATACTGCAATTAAATTAGTATGAGATGACTGGAGCAAGGTTATCAACGAAACAGGACAAGCGGAATAAGAAGCTAAAAGCATTAAAAAGAAGCAGCAAGCCAGGAAACTTACTGTGTTAGAAATCAGTATAAGAGGTGGTGCAGAAGTCTTAGGTATTTACTGCTGGTATGGTATTTTTGATGTCTTTGATTTACTTGATATCATTGGTATGATATTTTTAAAGGATGGGCACCTGAAGCCACAGCTGTATTACTACTACGTTTATATTTTATAAAATTTTTTTGTATTTTAAAACATTATTAATAATCATGCTAGTACTATTTGCCACGCACTGCATGTTGCTTTGCATGCCTTTGTGCTGCAGTTGATATGACTGAAGACTGATTTCTGGGGAAAAAAAGTATATACAGGCATGAGGCATGCATGCTTTGGGAGGTCCAGATGACATACTGGAAGAGATCATGAGGTAATTCTATATTACTGTGGCTAATTCTCATGCAGAGAATTAACATTCTCTCATTGCCCACAAAAGGAGGACCATGGAGATTTGCAACAAACATTAAGGTTGGTATGAATGGAAGTGTGAGGAAGTATGGGAAGAAACAGTAGAACAAGGGTTTTGAAAGAATAGCTGTACTGATAATGAAGGACACCGTTCCTGGGACACTCTGGCCATCAGTAAACTTGAGGAATATTGTTCCTACTGAGCCCAGAAGGTTGCACTCTGCATGGCCGATCCTTTTTAAGCCCTCTTCCTTTCCCTTCCAGGAGCAGGACCCTTCTTTGTGCAGACAGTGCTGTGGGCCCTTCCTCAACCAACCAAGCGGCTCAGAGGTCAGCGCTGGTATGGCAGGAGCAGCAGGCTGCCCAGATCCTGCTCTCCCTGCAGACTCGGGCACTGCAGGCCATGACAAAAGCGATCAAATACATGTTTTATTGCACTGTACATCCTGAAGTGTAAAAGCTGGGCTAGAAACTCAGGGCGATCCTGGAAGTATCCCCAGCACCACCTCTGCCCAGGGGTACCAGCCTCCTC